GTAAGCGGTCATGCAACGGAGATGCCCGCATACCCAGTGGGTGCTACGTACCCGGAGCTTAGCATTGTTTCGATACAGTCTCTACAGGTGCACATTAGCTCATAAATGCCCGTCTGGCGAATGCGCACAAAGACTACACGCGTGAACGCGCCAGTTGGATATGATTATCGGTCGTCGAAGTCAAGGTGGACGGGCTTGAGTCTTGGAGGTTCCTAGGCCTGTTTCCCACGGCTTCATGCTTGATCGGCATGATTTGTTCAAAGAGCGGTTTGCTGGATATGGTCGATACTGTGCTATTTCGTGATGCTTGATGATTCCACTCCACCTTGTTTGTTATCTTGCGAGAAAACCTGGTTGTGGGGCACACGTGTTTATTCATGGGCGTCTGGCAATCTGCGGCACAATTACTCGCGTGAACGCGCCAGTTGGATATGATAATCGGTCGTCGAAGTCAAGGTGGACGGGCTTGAGTCTTAGAGGTTTCTAGGTCTGTTTTCCACGGCTTCATGCTTGATCGGCATGATTTGTTCAAAGAGCGGTTTGCTGGATATGGTCGATACTGTGCTATTTCGTGATGCTTGCTCCGTTAACTGGACGGTTGGCAGAGTTACACGAAGCAGCTGTGCCGCAGCAACAAGTTTTTTGGTGGAAAGCCAGTCTTTTTGTGTAGTTGTCTTTGCTGCAGCATACAATACGGAGTGGTGAGGCGTAATTGTTTGCCGGTTTTATTTTTGCGCCTTGGTGTGGTGCAGCGAGAAGGCACAAGTAGTGCAACGTGTGTCTTGCTGTTGTTCTGATGTCTCGGGCTTTTTCACGGCAGCTCAAAGGTCACGTTACTTACACCTCTTACATAGATCGAGACTGTGCAAAAAAATTACTGCGATCGATATGTGTGTGCACGAGGAGCTACAGAAGCTATGCGTGGTGCATTATCCTCGCGCATTTGTGTCATAGTATGAAGTTGTCAACAGAATAAGCAGCTGCCTCATCTCAGTGTTCCTGAAGCTTGGCTTAATCTGAACACTGAGTCGTGGCGCCTGGGGAATCGTCCGAACTACAGAAGGTATGCTGCAAGTTTCCCGCTGGACGTTGTTCGCACCTTGTACATCATCGTCATCTTCCTTGAGAATGATCGCTGGCGAAGGCTGCGGAGTAAGGAGGGCGTTAAGGTGCCTGCGCAGGCCCTTTGAGCAGGGTGCAAATTGGCGATTGCAGCTCGGCGCCGTTATTGCGACGACCAATGGTCGCGTCGCGTCCAGTAACTAGGTGAACTATTCTTTGTTGAGCATCTCCACTCTCTGCGAGGAAATGCTTACCTTACTTTAGCACTCAGACGCTGCAGCGAGAAGTCGTGATGCCTTTTGTTGCAGTCCTCATCGCGGCTTTGTGCTGATGCCATTGAGCTGGTGAGCTTTTGTTGAAGGCAGTATAGCCCTACCGAGAGGCCATGCGAGCTTGTGTTTTACACTCGTTAGAAGCAAGTTCAAGCTCATGTCTGGTGTATCGGCTAAATTTGTGCTAGCACGGGCTCTTCATACAATAGATGACCTCAGAGTTCATTCGAAGCGTGGGATATAATTACGCACATAAGCGTTGCTTTTGGACATCGTCTGTGCGTAGTTGTCCTGCGGATGCGGCTTAGTGAGTGGGGTGATGACCAGAAGAGCAAACACCAAAGCATGGCAAGATAAGGTTCCAAGAAATATCTCTATCGACGGCATGCTTTAGATTTTGTAGCACGCATACACTAAAACTAATTTGGTGCTCTGGTCGTGACAGGAGCGCAGGTTTTTAAGGCAACTAGAAAAAGCGCGAAGTAAGTCCGTATAAACAGCCTCATAGGGGTTTGATAGAGTAAAGAAGATACTTCTCTGGTGAGGAAGACAAATTTGAACGAACCAATGGAAGGGCGCGCCGCTATTTGTTTGCAGCAGTACCCCATGGAATTTTTTACGACGTCCTTTTTTGCAAGAATGGGTAAAAATGACCGATGGCACCACGTTTTAAACAGAGCATTATGCATGGACGCAGAAAGGATTAGTTTGGCTTACCCGAGTGAATCTGATGGAATTCCTCAAAGAAATTCGTGTACACTGGCGTTCTGTCGCGTTTACGCTTGAAGCAGGATTGCTTTTAACTTGTGGGATGAGGCTTAAGCTACCTGGTCCTGCAAAGACTTTCGCGCATTGGCTGGAGAACCGTGTGTGCCGATGGCTGCATGGGAATCTTTCGGATTTGTGCTCAGAAGAAAACATTGCGTTGATCAAAAGTAACGATGCTGGCATATGATTTGTCGAGAGCAACGCTTGGTGGTCTGCAATTTATACAGCTGCTTGCGCTCAAATCTGACAGAATACTTCCTTATAGCTATGAAACGCAAGCTTGGCATGGTGAGGGTCGGCTGCAAACAAATAAATACACTTTGTAATGAGTGCATGGGACGGCTCAGGAAGTGCGTAATTAATTTGCGTGAATCCGAATAAATGTGGACGCGGCATCGATGATTGGTTTTGGGACCAAAAACGCTCTTTACATACCAAAGGTTGTGTCAAGGTCAGCGCGTTTCCAAAGCGATGGGAAAGCAGCCTTGCGGTCCCACGTGCTTATTGGAAGGAGTGTCTGGCTAATTGTACTCTCCCGATGTATCCTGCAACTGTGATAATTGGGCATGCCTCAGGCCTCTGGTGGCCGACCGCCCATTGCTGCTCCTGGGCTTTCAGCACTACCGCAAGGCATTAGTGCTGGCACATGGAATAATGAAGAAAAACTTGCTAGTAAGTGTAGAGCA